ATATGGCTGCCTGTCTATATTATGTCATGCAAGCCAACACATGTAGTTCAAATGCAATATTTTTATTTTTATTATGAGTAATATTGAGCCTTTCACTGAGACAGTTTATTAAAAACACCATGTGTTCAAGTGACTAGCAGCTCTCACACTTTAAAAGACATTTGTAAATGTAAACATAATAATACATTTTTTTTTTAATTGTATTTCTTTTTTCTCAATATCAATTTTTTGTAACCATTCCTATTTTTTGATACTGTAAAATACCGGTACTTTATTTTCGCTTGGAATTTATTTCCACTGAAAATAGGGAATATAACTTTTTTTTAATATTTTACAACTCATCAAAAATCAGTAAAAATAAATTCCATACATAAACACCCAAAAATGTCTTTTCAGCGAAAATTAATTCCGGCTGAAATAAAGTATTTTACAGTAATTAAATAAATAATAATGTGTATACATTTAAATGTAGACTTCATTAATACCTGCATATCTATTTTTAAATAGTTTATATTTATTTTTCTGTTGTTCATGGTACTGTAATTTGCATACATATTTTGTTTTCTATTTAACCATTTTGATTCCTCATAGGGAGTTTTAAGTGCTTAATAAAAGTAAAATTAATAAAAAAATGTCATATGTTTATTTAGTGATCCACCAGTGTCTCAGGCAAGATTTGAAAAATGAGTGAAATTGCACTATTAAAAAAGTATGGTCTTTTAAAAATAAAGTACCTCGGTTTTCATGTTCAGTACACTGTTGGTATTTGCATAAATTTTAATTGCAATGTTCTGAATTAACATTATTTCCAGTTTGCAGATCAGACATTATTTACATGTATGTGAAATATGCCACAAATCATGCAAATAGTTGCAAATACTCCATGATTGGTTATTCCACAAAATAATAATCCAGGATATAAATCACATACTGTAGAATACGTTATTTTCGCTTGGAATTTATTTTCGCTATTTTCGCTGAAGGCTTAATTCCGTGAAAATAAAATCCAGCGAATATACTTTTTTTCCTATATTTCACATTAAACTCATCAAAAATCAGTGAAAATAAATTCCATACAAAATGCTCAAAAAGCCTTTTCAGCGAAAATTAATTCCAGTGAAAATAAAGTATTCCACAGTAGTTACAGAGGAATTACAGCAGTGGATATGGGGGTGTATGTAAATAATTGTCCCTTATAATATTAACAACCTGAACCATTTAATCCCTGTCCTTCATTTCAATATAACATAATATCTCAAAATGTTGAAAAATTAACACTAACAAGTTGTAGGAAATGGAATAGAACAAACATTGTTAATTTTATTTATGCATTTATGAGCACACTGTTCAACACATTCACAAACAAATTATTTGTGAAAACTAAATGACCCAAATTCCTCCAACTGAAAAAGTGGTTTGTTTGTTTGTTGTTCAGTTGATCTGTCTGAATGTGTGAAATAGTTTATGTTGTTAGTTCACACAAGATTTGTACATCTGTTATTCTGGTTCAATCAGGTGACAGAGTACATTGACCCCAGACAATATACAGCAATAGAATAATGGCATCAATTGACCAATGAGAATACAGTATCATATGAACACTGCACCTGCTATTAATTTATCATCATTTGTATGGAACTTAAAATATTTATGTTCACAAATCACCATGAACAGTGCCCATTTCAAATATCATGTAGAAAAATTAAGTATTTCACACAATCACAAACCCCAAGATTTGAATGACATTTTGTAGTGTGTAGAGTACACAATATACTGTGTTGTCTTTTATCAGCATTTTGAATTTGTACAAGATAACATTATTGGTGTCAAGACATAAAGAGCCTAACTACTCTTTGTACCATACTTCAAAAACCAAAAAAAACACTTGAAAGGTTACCAAACTCACTGACCTTCATAGTAAGTGAAGACCATGAATGAACTGCAACCAACTGTGTTTGCTTTATTAGAAGCGCAACTTCAAAAAAGCACATGTAAGCCATTTAGTGCATAGATTATTAAAATACTGAAGAAGACTTATTGTGCCATAGCCATAGACACATCTGAGCTCTGCTACACTGTATTTGTGTAAGCACATGTGCTACTAATGGAGCAAATACGGCACTGTACGCATGTCTCCACAGTAGTGCCAACAATCCCAGTACAACAATCCACACTTACAGTAAACTTCACAGTAGTGCCAATAATCCACATGTCTTAGTTAGCAAGCTAGCTTTCTAACACTAACCATGTTTAGTTCAAATCGGCATGTCTTAGATCATGGATGTACTAAACCATGTTTAGTTCAAATCGGCATGTCTTAGACCATGGATGTACTAAACCATGTTTAGTTCAAATCGGCATGTCTTAGATCATGGATGTACTAAACCATGTTTAGTTCAAATCGGCATGTCTTAGATCATGGATGTACTAAACCATGTTTAGTTCAAATCGGCATGTCTTAGACCATGGATGTACTAATCCATGCTTAGTTCAAATCGGCATGTCTTAGACCATGGATGTACTAGTCCATGTTTAGTTCAAATCGGCATGTCTTAGATCATGGATGTACTAAACCATGTTTAGTTCAAATCGGCATGTCTCAGATCATGGATGTACTAAACCATGTTTAGTTCAAATCGGCATGTCTTAGACCATGGATGTACTAATCCATGCTTAGACCAAATAGAACAAAAATAATGAATAGGTTGTTACATTCTAAAAAAATACTGGATAGGAAGGCAGGAAATATTTTTTTTCCTAATGAGTTGCACTCTTTGGTTTTTGTGTGAACAGATGAGAAAAATTACATCTACGTTAGTTTTTAAAATATTTTTCCCTGATACAATTAAGTGACTAACCAGGTAGTCAATCACTATGTACATGTCAAAGGGAGTACCTGTGAAATCAACATTTGATGGAATGACCATAGCTAATTTTAATAGAAATAAATAAATTTGAGCTCATTTGCATGAAATAAACTTTTTGATTTTCCACAGAACATGGTTACTGGAAACACAGATTTTTTCTTTATTTGGCCTTTAGCATGCACACCCCTCCACACTCGCCCTAGCCTTGTGGATTGTCCAAACTGATGGGTGAGTGGACCAGAAACAATGCCCAACCAATGTGTTATTTGAATAAGTACATTGTGAGTAAGTACAATCATGGTACAATGTACAGGTATTTGCAGTTATATCTTAACAGAAATGTATGTAGCTTAGAGTAAACCAATCTTGCTTGGGTTAACCCCATACATGTATAGACTAATTTTGACTAAATAAATATTATGTTCCTAGATTTAATTTAATGTAAAAGCTGGTAAATAACTCCCTGTTGGGAATCTACTTGGTAATAAAAATAAACAATCTTGACATCAAACCTCTGATCAGTGTTTACAAAATGCAGCATCAGAGCATGAATGGATTTAGTCAGATGTTAAACACAGTTCCTCCCTCATAAATGTTCTATTTCTACACTATTGTACTTTGGTGTACCATGGAGCTAAAAAAAAGCTCCATGGGTGTACTAAATCACCTCAAATTCACCAATAAACACAGGTGTGCATGCTGTTTGAATACCAAACAAGCAAAGTTATTAACATGACAATAGGGTAAGACAAGCCAATATTAAACCATCTATAGTTTCTGTAATGAGCAGACATAGTCAGAATAGTTGTGAACAATAACTGGTATGGTGTACTAAAATTGCAGACTACTATGGCTCTTGGGTGATTCATCGTATGGAATGCATACTAAACTAAGAGAAACCATACAAATATCTGCTACAGTGAACGTTTTGTAAACCAATGTGCAATTGATACCTCTAAGAATTTCCCCCATCTCCACTTCCCACTATTGCTTGGATGAACTCAGGCATATAGCATGAATTTCAAAACGAGTACATGGTAGCATGGGGTGATTAGCCTCATGCATAGAGGAATTTCACTTAACGAGTGTATCATATCAATACATATGACTCCATGCGGGATATAATTCCTCAACCCAATGTTTAAACATCCAGTTTGAATATTATTTAAAAAGCATACAATTACGATAATATATTTAGTTTATGAGAAAGTAAATGACACATATGGAATTTTATTATATTTCCAACTAGACATATAATATAATAAATGGGACCCCTACAGCTAAAATAGACCACTTTATCACTTGCTGCTGGTTATTTGTTGTATTGTAGCGAATGGAAAATTGTTTTTAAGATTTGTTTTCCTGCCTCAAACGTGAAAAACAATACTTAAGTTGTACACAAAACTTGGGTGGTTGGTATTTGCATGCCTGAAACAACATGCATCTCATATTTCACAGTTACAAAGTTTAAGGAATCATTCTGCGTAGCTCACAGTGGCAACCGTGGTATCCACACTGTGGGGCTCGCTTTCTCATTTCACGTTTACAAATTTGTGACCTCAGATAACGCCCAGTGCGTACGTCAACAACGCTCACACACGTGTCACAAATTTGTTGTAGTTTCTACGTTACATCATGGTTACAATGACGTTAAAAAGTACCTACCATTTATATTGGCACCTCGCTGACCCTTCTGTCGCAATTCCGAAATTTCCCGTCTGTTTTTACTTGACAAAAGCGTGTCCCGCTTTGTCTCAGTGGGGCTTGAATTGCTTCCAGCACTTGAGCTACCATCGCCTTGATCTCTCGTCGCAGAGTTCAAACTAGCACTACATTGACTACACAATGAATTCCGGCACCCGACTCTTTCTTGGTCAAGAAATATACAGAGTTCCTTTAATTCCTGGTTATCCTGGAGTAACTGTTCCTGTTTCGTTTCCAGGTCCTTTAGTTTGTTTTGGTAGGTTGAAACTTCACTTCGCATAACACTTGCCGTGTATCGTCCGAATCGTTGCCACTCTCTTGCTAGTTTTCTTCCTTTTTGTCGATCATCGTCCAAAAAACAACACAGATCTCTAAGTTCTTGGTTGTCATCCTGAAGTCTTTGATTGACCTCTTTCAAACCTCTAATTTCCAACAAATGTACCTGCATCCTGCGATTAACCTCTTTCATCAGACTTCCATGGTTAACTATCAGAGCCATCTTTTCCTGTTCACCTTTCCACAGTCGTTTCCTCAATTCATCCACGTTCATGCGGGAAAGTTCTTCCTCGGTGAGTTTAATCTCACTCTCCATTTTAACGAGTTATTAAACAGTGTATCAGATCGATCACATTTAAACAAACTATAAAAGATATCGTAGCATAACGACAAACGTTAACATGGATATATCGGCCTCGATGACTTCTTTTTCCGGGCTTTCCGTACTCGATTGCGATTACGATACCGAATGATAGAGCGCATTTACCAGCGATGTGAAAACAGCTTTCAACCTCAGACCACGGTCTTTATACTAAGCTTCAGGTGGCTGGTCATAAATCATGGGTTACAACGCTTTACCAAACCTTTTCACGATACATTACTAGAGTCGACAATTCTCACGATTTCAAAGCAAGACAGGTAAAATGGCTGATCACAAGGACCTATGACACGCTGTTCTTTCAAACGTCATCACTCCCGCCTAATAACAAATGTTTTAATTGGCTCTGTTCGCAAAGTACACTTCAGATAACTATCACAGTTATTATATTACCACAAAATAAATATTACTCAGATATATAACTAATACATAACTCATATTTAATTGTTATGATATCATGCATTATTTCAACAAAAACAACTTTATTGTGTACTTTGGCATAAAGCATGATATAGCAAGCACAAAATGACAAAAACATTGGCTGCTGGACGTAAAAATTAAAGAAAATATTCTATGATTATTCATTAGTGTCAGATATTAAATTCATAAGGGCTCATTTTATCTGATTTGAAGATATTTATAAAGTTATCAGTTTATATCGGATGCAATGTGGACGAGAACACATTTTTAGTATTGTTTGATAGATACATTCATTGGACCATGGACCTACCATGATTGGACTATGATTTCTGTTTGCACTACATATCTGAGTACTAGTATTCGTTCATGAAACAAGGAAGTTTTCTAATATACTGGACCGACGATGGACTCGATTTCCAGTATCTGTTTACTGTTGAACCTGTTCCTGTTTTTGTTATACTGCCCTCAACGGTATGTATTATACGTAGCAGCGGAGAAGCGAAAGTTTCACTCTGTGTCGCAGTAGCACATCGGCAAGGGACAGAAAACTGAAGAGACTGGAACCGAGTATATATTACGCATGTGAACTGGTTTCTTTGGTATCTATAATAACTTAAAGTATACATGTGCTTGCTGTACTTACAGTTGACATTTGACATAGTGTGATAAGATGGCTTATAATATAAGTTATACAAAACGTGTTAATGCCAAAATGAAGGAAATCATTCGGAATGTGCTGTCAAATCAAGTATGTTCAATTGCTAACAGAGGTGCTACCTCCATGTTATACAGTATTAAAAACAGGTAGTGAGACAAGAGGAGTTATCTCAATTTTTTTTCGATTTATTGGATGATCTGCATAATAAACCTGAGAAGATGAATTTGTGGTGCTCTCTTTTGAGTGTGTATGCTGGATGCCCAAGTTTAGCAGACGACACGCCATTGATTGTTACATCTGCGTGACAACTTCAGGAAATGCTCGCTGTTGTCGAAGAAATCTGTGCCAATTGGAGAATAACGATAGCTACTAACAGGATTATGGCTTCGGAGGGAAACGAGACGTGAAAAAGCGTTTTATAAAGATGAAGTAGACCATTGACACTCTGTACAATACAATATAGACGATATATGTTCGTTTGGGTATTTTATCAGGTGCAGTCAACGAGTAAATTTGCAAAAATGTTTGGTATTTATGTTTGATCAAGAGTAACCTAATGTATGAACATTATTAAGGCTTAATTTAGTTTGGAGGGGAGAGGCCAATCTGTTCGCAACTCCCCTCCCTCTCAATCAAATTAAATTGCCCTCCCACTGTTTTTTGCTCCCACTGCCCTCTCCCCACTCAGTGTTTGTTCCCCGCTGCCTTCTACCCACTCAGTTTTTGTTCCCCTCTGCCTTCTCCCCACTCAATTTTGCTACCCACTGCCCTCTCCCCGCTCATTTTGTTTTTGCCTGTCCTCTGGACACGCAGTTGTATCAACTCTCCCATCCAGTTGGTTCAGGTGTCTCAATTCTCCCCTCTCAACAGTTTCTGCCTTCTCCCTATCATTTCCCAGAGAAGACGTTATGATCACCAGCTCCAATCCTTAAACACATGTGAATTGAATTTAACGTTTTTCTTTATAGCAGGCGAATTTAATGGTAATATAATACCTATATTTTCCATGAAATGACAAAATGCCATGACCCATTTCACCGGCAACACTCTTTATTAAGAGAGTTGTACCCAAGTTCAAATTTTGCACTTCTGAACATACAATGCATTATGGGAGACAATAAAAAATCGAAGAAAGCTTAGAAAGAACTTGGGATCGGGGTATTCTCAGTCTAAACATTCCTCCCCTTTGGCAATTTGGTTTTTGATGCCCGCGGAAAATTCTGCATTTTGCCCTTACCCGCTCAATCTAAAAATGGAATTTGCCTGCCCTCTGAATAAAAATCTTCTCGTACTGGAATTCCCCTCTGAGAAACCCTATTTTCAATGCCCTTCCGCTGAAGATGTTTTAATTTGCCTGCCCACTAAAAATCCCTTGCGAACACATTTTTTCACGAACAGCTCCGTTGACTGCACCTGCTATATTCAGTTTTTTTTATTTATTCCTACAACAAGCTATAGGAAGCAAACTAAACTAAATTACAAAACTACAATCAATCACCCATTCACTCACGTCAATGCGCAGTCTAGAATAGGGGAAAGCGATCACTTACTATTGGAACCGCCAACTTAGGTAGACTTCTGTTAGAACCCACTATTTGCTGAAGCGTATTTTGTTTTCAATAAACGGTAACTATATCTTTTTAAATATGCACATATTGCATGAATATTTCAGAACCCGTTACAAAATATATATTTTGCTTTGAAGTTTAATGTGCATTATGTATTGATCAGTCACTCTGATCCATGTCCTACCTTACCCGCTGAGAAATGGTATTGCCATTGTATGAAAGAAGAAGGTCAAGGGGCAAATGTCAGTTGCCCGGATGCGGAAGAGATATTCACTACATATTATTTCTCCTTTAGCAATCTCTTAGTTCGAGTGGCTTACACGATTTTTATTGACACTAATGTGATTTTGGGTAAGTTTATCTATATTTACATATCCATTCACGTGTACTATTGATTTATTATGCCCGGAACAGTCGTCAAGGTATTTTGTTATTGCCGGACGGTTGCTGTTATCATGGAGGTAACATTTACCTCCATCACAGTCCCTCTATCATGATATATGATAGAGGGACTGTGCCTCCATGCTGTTATGAAATGATCGCAAAATCAGGGTTAACCCTACTGTAAAATACTTTATTTTCACTGAAGGGATGATTTAGTGAAAATAAAATCTAGCGAATATACCTGTTTTCCTGTATTTTACGTTCAAGTCGTCAAAAATCAGTGAAAATAAATTCCATACAAATAAATTCCATACACCCAAAAAGTCTTTTTCAGCGAAAATTAATTCCAGCTAAAATAAAGTATTTTACAGTAAATGTATGGAATAATCAGTAAGAGTAACTCATCAAAACCATCAATAAATCATAACCCTGCCCCTCCAGTGTCTTTTCCCCATTTTAATTGTATATACGGTACCACTCTTCATAATAATAATAATAACTTTATTACACAACTGCACCATCGGTGGGTGCTGTATGGTAAGGATACAGATCAGAAAAAACAAACACAAATAAACAAAAAACAACAAAAGTTTCAAAATTACAAACAAAACAAAAGGTATATATAAAATACATATTACAATTAGGTTTTATAAATTGTGTTTTTTAAGTATTTTGCAAGTGCAGTACTACTATTTATAATGCAAGTAAATATTAAATTTCGGTTAGCTGTATTACACATTTTTAATTTACAGTCTTCTAAGAGGGTATTTCTTTCTTGAGTGAAGAAGCAACAGTCAAGGATGTAATGTATGACATGTAGGGTTTGGGTTAGGGGTGAGGATGCCCAGGGAACTCTTTAAATTACAAATAAATACCTCACCAGGAAGGTAAAACAAGACAAAATGTTGTACTAGTACCCCAGATTATAGCCCTGTGTACATGACTTTTTTAGGTCGTAATGAAAATGAGTACATTCACATTTACAGATTTGTACACAGAACTAGCTGGAGTAGTACCAGAGGTCGACTGACCTCCCCCTACACTCTCCCTTGCAGAGTCTTCGTGACCTAGGGAGCCACAGAGAGCCGCAACTAGACTCTGCCACAGGTGACATTTTACACCAAAATTTTTGGTATTCTGCGTTTTTTTTTGCTTCACTTGTTTCTTATATCCTAAGCTTCTGTTGAAAAAAATGTGTGTTACTGTGGAATACTTTATTTTCGCTGAAAAGACTTTTTGGGCGTTTTTTATGGAATTTATTTTCACTGATTTTTGATGAGTTGAATGTGAAATATAGGAAAAAAAGTATATTCGCTGGATTTTATTTTCACGGAATCATCCCTTCAGCGAAAATAGCGAAAATAAATTCTAAGCGAAAATAAAGTATTCTACAGTATTTAAAATAAATATATCAAATATTTTTACATTCAGTGGTAAAATCTCTTCAAAATGTTAAAATAATGAAAAAGTAGATCCTGGATACGTAGATGTGAGTCGTCGGTTCAAATCGTTGGTGTGTTCGCGTCGTTGCCTCGGGGTGATGCGGGCGCCTCACTCCTGCTCAGTTTTTGTTTGACTGCTATGTGACATCACAACTGGTCGACTTTGGGAAGAAGATAGCGAACTACAAAATCGATAGGTAAAAAGGTATTTAGGTAATTTTCTCAAACATAAAATGCTAGTGGTCGTGATTTCAAAATAAATTTTATACATTTTATTCGAGTTTTGCACGCATAGCAACGGACAAATAAATCTACTTCCAGCCACATCGCTTGGGGCATCCCCAGGGAGCGACGCTAACGGACTTGTGGCAAAGCAAAAAGTAGGTCCGGTCATTAGTATTTAAATTAGCCTGTGACAGAGACTAGTGGGACGTTCCCTGGCGACTACATAGCTTAGCGATAAAAGACCCATAGTCTCTGCGACAGAGAATGCTCCCCCTATAGTTAACTAGTCTCCAAGCCTATAGTCAGTTGATCCACTGATCCTAATCATCTTGTCCTTGTCATCTAACTGATCGAATCCCATAACCTGGCGAAATTTGGTCACAGTAGATTGTAGGATCTGGTCAATTCTCAACCGTGCAGCAGCTAGGTGCGATCAACCACTCAGCGATGGATTTGTGAACACTATGGATGGGGGGGGGGGGGGGTAGTTGGCAGAGACAAAGACCAAGCACCAAGCAGCAAAAAGTCCATTTCAGTTGAATATGTCAAGATACTAGGTTAAATATTTGCTTGGTTTGGTCTGGGAAAAAAAATATTTTACAATTTGAGCCATATGTTCAGTCAATTTAATTAACCTGGATGGTGCAATTGATTCATTTGTTGAATAATTTAAAAAGATTTAATTTCATCTTTTGTTCACATTTAGTGTTCATTAGGCGGACTGCGGCTGCTTCCCCAACAAGTACTTATGGGGACACTTATATAGTGTAATGCCTGATTTTTGAAAAATGTTTACACAATCTGCTGTGAATGAGTGTACTATCTCTTTTTATCTCCATAGTTGTGTTTTGTTACTTCTATGTTCCTACTCTGCCTAATATACATTTGCATAATTTGTTGTTTTAGATCCCAATATTAAACACTGATGCCTCCAAATGTGTTTTATATCGCTGTAACAAATATTACCATGTCAGATTCTAATTTCTTTCACTATATATATACTGTACTTCAAACTTAAATATACTCTTTTTTTTACACAACAGTATCATGCCACCTCAAGTGTTTATTATGAGGGCAGCATGGCAGCCAAATCAGTGATAAAACCATGGACACTTCAGATTATGAGCTGGATGATGAATATGGAGAGCTCCCTCCAGTGTTGAAAGATGGAAAGGAAGTCAGTGTAAGGAAGTCTGAGGTATATGAATGGGATGAGGAGGAATACGTTTTTGATGAGAGGTGAGTTGGCTGTTTGTGAAGTGACGAAGCTAATATCTTATACATGTATGTAGAATCAAATGTAGTCCTGTTGAACTGCACATATGGCCATCAGCACGATTGGTTTGGAGTGCAGCTCCTGGGACACTCCTCTTTGTTTTTATCTAAGTATATGCCCTGGTCATTCTACATCCTGAAACCTGTGCATACCTCAACAGAGATAATGGTTGTTTTTATATTTTTAAAATCACTAATATTTTGTTTGAATTATGACCACCATAATTGCTTATTTACAACAATAATCATGGTCTCTTCTATTTTATTCTTCAATAGATATCTGCCATATTACTCCATCATAGAAGCATTGTCACTGGAAAATATCTTTGAGGTATTATCTCATTTAGAATGGTACGAGTTGTGTACGATGTCCCAGACTTGCACAGCATTCCATGATATATGTAACAGTCCCTCTTTGTGGTGAGTCTTTTTATGATTTAGTGACAAAAGATATGTTGCAGATTGTTACAAGTTGCCATAGTGTATTTTTTGACTAATGTATTTTTCTACATTTAAATCTACTACATTGCAACACATATTGTATACTGTAAAATACTTTATTTTAGCCGGATTTAATTTCCACAATTTGGCTGTTGTGCATGAAGTTTATTTATACTGATTTTTGTTGAATGTAAAATAGAGGGATTTTATTTTCACTGATACATCCGTATAGCGGAAATAAATTTCAATTGAAAATATATTCAACCATTAGCATTATTAATATTTAATGATTTGTAGGACATATTTGTAAAAATAAAATTTCACTGTGAATGTCACTGTTACTCGCATATTCATTTACACACTTTACGTTTACCCCAGACCTGCTAAATTCACAAAAATAGTCAAAGTTTATTTGTGCAGATCAGTATATATTTTGATATGTTTGTATAATATGCATAGTATATGTCTGATAGGGTGAAATGGTCACAAAACAGAGTGCCATGTGGTTATGAATTATATTGTATAATATTATAGCATCACATGTACAATTGTATAATAGATATACCATATTTGTTATGTTAGAAGCTCATCTCCAATAGGAGTCCACATAAACCAAAAATTGCAGGTATTGTTTGTCGGATCTTTTACGTGCATTTGGTGCCTATGTCATTTACGTAAGCACATGTGGTACAAATAGAACAAATATGGTATTTTCATACTATAATACAGATTTTTTCTTATTTCAAGGCAACATATGAAAAAACTTAACTTTACAAAGTGCAAAAATCCTAATGAAACAGATGTTTTTCATATAGCCCAGAGATGCCCCAAAGCAGGTAAAATATCTCATTCTGTCAAACTGGAACACAACCCTTTCACATGAATTAATCGTCTCTCAGTTTTGTACATGTAATTCTCTGTCTTTTCCCTAAATGCTTGTTTTTAATCTTACAGGCAACATTACCAATTTCAATTTTTGATATATATCGGTACAAGCATAGTGGTAAAACAGAACTTACCATACATTGTGGAAGGTGACACAAGATGACTTATCTTTCATGACACCTATTTTAGAATCAAATCAAGGCCTTTCACTTCTGTCCGATGTCTAAATTAGAAAACTTATTTTTTTCAGAATTCCTTATAATTGGCAATGTCTTGACTGATGACTTGATGACCCGTATATTATCTGTGTGTCCAAAGCTGAATTCTTTTGATCTGCATTCAAATAATATTAGTGATGATACAGGTAAATTTCATCATTTCTTGTGTGTGTCCCTAATCTGTAATATCACATTGTCTTTGAGTCCCAAATGATTGCATGTATGCTTTACACATTACCAGTTTGTTTTTCTAGAAGTGTGTCTCCAATAC